CCCGGGCTGGTGAGACCCAGCAGCAGAACCCTGCCAGGAGCGGTGCTGGGTGGCAGAGAGGGGAGACGTGTCCACTGATGCCCAGCTCTCACCTGCCCGTACGAGATGGACGCGATGGCTCCCGCCGTGTATCGGCCCACTCCCGGCAGCAGCTTCTGCAGGTCCTCAGCTGTCCTGGGCATCCGGCCGGCCAGCTCAGAGACCACCTGGCAGAGAAGGGGCCGAGGTCAGGGCAGCAGCCGGGATGCGTGCGTGCAACCCATTTTACCCACGGTAAGACGGGATCCCAGCCTCTGTAGCCTTGTGCCAGCAGCACACAGCCCCAGCGAGGCAGGGCAGACGGGAGCCAGCACCAACCCACGAGCCACAGAGGGCTTCGGAAATGCCCCCCACACCCCAACACCAGGGCACCTTCCTCGCTGCCTCCTGCAGACGCTTCCCTCGGGAGTAGTAGCCAAGTCCTGCCCACAGCTCATTCACCTCCTGCTCCAAGAGACACGGCACGGTGTTAGATGGGGCACGGGAAGAGCCATGAGGGTAGGGAGAGCCCCAGCAACGCTCACCTCCAGGGATGCCTGCGCCAGAGCCTGCAGCGTTGGCCACTTCTGCGGTACAGAGGGAAGGGGACAAGTCAGGGACAGGCAGAGCCGTGCTCTGCAGCTGGGGATCTGCCACAGGCAGTGGACGAGGTCTCCAAAAGGGCCAGCCTGTGGGCACAGGACTCTGAGGAACAGTCACCTGCATCCAGCGGTTGTAGTAGTCGATCACTGTAGCCACCTGCGTCTGCTGGAGCATGATCTCAGACACCCACACTGCAGGGAGCAGGGAGGGATCAGAGCAGAGGCACCAACGCCACCCGCACCTTGTGCCGTGGCCATGTTAATACTGGCTACAAGCACTGCAGTGGCATCCAACGCCCCTTCTCACCCCCCTCCTTCTCCACATGCTGTCCCACAGGAGTTCCCTCAGACCCCGAAGTGGGCTCTCAGACCCCCCAGAGCCTTGCAAGGGGGATCAGTGGCTCTCGTGGCCACCCCAGGCAGCTTGTTCCAAGGATGGCAACTGAAGCCACTTTTCCTCACAAGGCCATATTGTGCATCCGCGTCAGAGGGAAACATGCAGCAGGGCACCCCATGCACACCGGGGCGCAGTCCCTGCTCCTCACCTGCGTATGCCCGTCTGTTGGCATCTGGCTCAGTTGATGCCTGAAAGGGGAAGAAGATGGAGTGAGAGAAACAGGGTGACACAAGATTGCATCGCAGAGGGGATCTACACATAAAATAAAATTGCTTGAGGTGTGTTTTGAACACTGCATAGGAATCTGCATAGAAATATTTCCTCCAGGTTCAAAAAATCCCACCAGAGGAGCTGTCCTGG